TAAAAGAGTAAAGTAGTCTGTGCCCACGTTCTGCAAGACCTTGACAACATGCCGGGTTGGGCTGTAAATGGCAACTAATAATCAGGACACACAAGTGTCAGACAGTAACCATCTCCATCAAGAAAGATTTTAATCATTCCCTCCATATGCAACAGTACCACCACTGCTGAATCCCACATCATCAGTGACACCGTTGTTAACATTGACCAGATATTTAACTGGACCAGTCACATAAATACAGTGGATACAAGAGATTGAGAATTCTGCAACTGTAACTCACTCTGACTCTCCAGACCCTATCCAAAACTTAAAGCAGTCTCCACTTGCCTGGAATAGTGCAACTCAAACAACCCTCAGAAGGCTGGCCACTATCTGAGACAAAGCAACACGTGAGTAGTATCTCATTCATTTACTCTATCCCCTTAAACGTTTACTCAATCTACTCATAGCACACATGAGCAGCAGTGTGCTAATTCAAAGCTTCTGCAACATCACCTTCCAAAGCAATGATCTCTGCCATCAGGAAGAATAAGCACAGCAGATCCATGGAAACACCACCATCTGCAGGTTTTCTGCCAAGCCACAGGCAGTCTTGACTTAGAATTACATCATCACTCCTTCACCGTTACTGGGTCTAAAACCTGGACTCCTTTCCTAATATCACCGAGGACCTGACCAAACCACATGGACTACACCTGTTCAGAAAGATGGCTCACCACAAACTTCTTAACTATAATGAAGAACAGGCAGTTCATAAAGGATCTAGTGTTCAATGCTCACATCCTCTGAGTGAATAAAAAAGCCTTATCATTCTAGTGTGGCAGCTTCCTGGCTACTAAAACACAGATAGATTGCTAACTTGGCCAAATAGCACGGGATGCTGGATACATTGGGCATGAGAAACCCTGAAATCACAAAACCCACACACCAGACACAGTGCAACCACAGCAGCCGGGTACTAATGACATTAGCGTAATGTAAAAGGCAACAGGTATTCTGCACAAACACCCCCAATAACTTATCCACTAAGCAAAGGAGAGCCCAAACAGAAAGACACTGGGTCCTACTACACAAAGGAACGAACAGTATCATGCCATCTAAATGATTGACTCGTGTTTCAAACTATTAAGTGTATCCCCCGATTGGCCAGAACTATAAAAATTTCCAGAAAACCATTAAGAAGATATAAAAACACAGTTCACCTGCAAATCTCTCTCTTGGAACCACTCCCGGAATCCCTGGAATCATTTGAGGCCTTCCAAGGAGACCAGGATGGCAAAAGGCAGAGACAAGCTGACCATGGGGCGAGAGGGGGCGAGAGGGGGCGAGAGGGGGCGAGAGGGGGCGA